GTTTAGGGGCGGGCGGTGAATGTCTTGAACGTTTCATGAATGAATTGGACAATTTTCTACTAGACCTGGCCTTTTAGTCTAAGGACTGGCTGTGGAATAGTATATTGTAATGATTATTTTGCATTCACTAGGGCCTAGTCTGTGCCCGATCGTCTGTCACCCCACCCATACAGTGGACGCCATCCAGGGTGATTCCCTTCCAAAACGGCCACCAATGTGTGTATGTGTATGGAACGCCGGTGACGCATGCACAATTATTAATACAATACCGCTCGCTAAATAGTAATAATAATACAAAGGATTCGAGTTAATTTGGCCCCAGTCAACTCGGCCTTTTTTTCATTTATATCTAATGATTAATAAAGCATATTACATTATTAGTCCTACATAGACCTACTATATATAAAATCTGAATTAGAATAAAAGGATACATTAAAAATAAAAATATAGTGCAATTAAAAGACATACAATGATTGTTAGATGATATTGATTACTTTAACGTAATTTGGTATCTATTATAGAGTATTCCATAACGTTGCAGCAGCTACATTCAGTGCCTGTCTCTTATACACATCTAACCATGACAAAATCTTGTGCATAATAAAGTAAAATTAAAATAGCCTAGGCCTGCCTCTAATAATATTTGTTACTGTAGGCCAAATTCTGAACCAACTTGGTCTATACCAAACCTACTTAGCCTAGGCCTATGCCAAACCGACTTGGCCTATGCCAAATCAAACATTTAACAATTATACTGTACTGCATTGTGCATGCGTCACCGGCGTTCCATACACATACACAAATTGGCGACTGTTCTAGAGGGCAGCAGCTGTAGGTAGCGGCTGCTTCAGGCCTAATTTGGCATACTTGTATTTTGGTATGAGAAAATTTATTAATTAAAAAATTCAACATTTGTCCTTTTTTGCATGGTGATAATCGTTAATTTCGTTAAACATGTACTAGGCCAAAGCCTAGCTTGTTTTTATTTTGTATACTTACTATTAAAACAGTCTACAACAAGATTAAGATTTATCACTACTGACAATTATTCCTTGGAAACAGCTGATTCTTGAGCACAATTCATCAAAACTTACTTTATTTAGGACTAGACCTAGGCCTACTGTAGCTGTCCCCAGACCTAATTTGGTAAGTTCTAAATTAGACATGAGCCTATTTATTGTGTCTTTTTGTATTTTAATAGTAAAAGAAATGAAATGAATATAGGTCCAGTCTATTCTAGCCCACTATAGAAACACAATCTACCTAGCTAGGGCCTATCTTCTCTTGTCATGTGGGAGACTAATATTCTGGAACAGTTCTGTAACTGCTTTTTTCACCTTAGGTAATCAAACATTTAATTGTAACTATGTCATGGGTTTTCCTGCATAAGTTCATCATATTTTCTACCACTAAATCTTTTATATTTCAGAGAACTTTCAACGTTATGCTGGTTTTGGAATCGGTATTGCGAGTCTACTAACCGAAAATGTTTTGTCTCATCCACTGATTGCTTTCAGGAGACAATGTCAGGTAGCTGCCTATTCATTATTTATTGTATTTTTAAGTTAGGCAAGTTTAACTGTATTTTAAAATTTAATCAAATGTGTGTGTACCACAACTGGAAATCAATGCCTTTGAATTCAGCAGGCATTGAAATAAGAAAGTTGATATATAAATATATAAATGAATTATCATGTATTTGATGATGATAAGTTACTTTCTAGGACTGTATGGAAGATAAAATTAAGCCACTGTTTGTATGATGAACCTTAATATTTTTAAACCATTAAGTATTGGGTTCAACCAAATATATTTTCTTTATTCATAGTGAATTGACATTGTTAACAGTATTTTTTTTTCATAATAATAATAATAATATGTTAGACGTATATAGCACTTAACACCAACAAGGCCTCTAAGCGCTTCACATTATTACCCCCAGTTATTGGATTAAATGCATATGGAACACAAACTTAAGCTCCCTGGGGGAGTATTCCATAACGTTACAGCAGCTACATTCAGTGCATTTTGGCATTTAACCCTACCTGGTACCCATTTATACTCCTGGGTGGAAAGAAGCAATGCAGATCAAGTGCCTTGCCCAAGGACACAAGTGGAATGCACAGTGAGGGGAATGAAACCCCGACCTTGAGGTTGGGAAACCAAATAGTTCCCACTGCGCCTAACCACTTCCACTTTCATCCATGGCATAACAATTAACATTAGCCTTTGGTCGTTTTAGGTCAATTGTCAGAGCTTTCGCTATCACCTGACTCCATTCACTGTCATCCAAGTTATGACCACTCTGCAAGGAAATCAGGTACAGTATCGAAAGTTATGATTAGCTGATGGTTAATAAGTGACACTATTTATTTGTGCATGCAAATCAATCTTTTAATAAGAAACTACATAACAATAAATATAGTTTAGTTTCCAAAATATAGGAAAAAGGATATATATTTTTATTGGTCCAGAAATTGCTATGGAAATTTGCTTTCCATTGGCACAAGACAATTGATAAGTTTACAAAAAACATAAAAAAAACAATAGTTAAAACCATGGTTTAAATATAGACAGATGCACTGACATAACTTAAAAGCATGCACAATAAAAGCAAATTAAAAAAGCAAGCAAGCTGTGCCCTATAATATTCTAAAACTTAGTTTGTCATTTTTATATTTTTTATCTCCCATCATATTTTCACTACAAAATTTTGCTTTTTTCATAGGGATTTACAGCATTATGGAAAGGCATTCCAAGTACAATAATGGTGCAGGGCCTTGGTATGGTGACAGAGACTGTAATCAGTGAAGTAACACCATTTCCAAAGTAAGAGCATTATTTTGATCATATATTTGTTAACTTTGGCAATAAATTTATACCAATTAGGTTCTGAGTTTAGTTGGTAAAGCATTTTTTAGGAAGTGGCTATTGTTACACCAGTTTTGAACTTATTCCTAATGCTGATTGGTTAGATGGATGTTATTGCCCTAATTTGTGATACAATAACATCCAATCACTGATTGAGCCTCAACCCCACATTTTTATTCATGTTTAAATATGTCATGCAGATGAGTATTTGCTACAAAAATTCATTACATAATAGTTGTTATGATTTTGATAATAAATTTTATTTCAGAGATATACATTCACAAAGTTCATTGAAGCAATTTGCAGGTCATGTGATACTGAAAGTAATCAGCAGTGTCATAACCCTGCCAGTGTATGCTGCTAGTCTTGTGGAAACAGTTCAGGTAATTTCAACAGAAGAATTATAACATAGATATAAACTAGAAGACATATAATAAATCAAGATAATATGGCAGTGCAGTTTATAACCTAATGGTTTGAGACTGGAAATGGTCATGTTGATGTTGTCATTGGGCAGGATAATATATCTATGTTTGAGTACTTAATCCAACAGCAAAAATAAGATATTATGTGGTTTTCACAAAGATATGATTATATTATGATTGAATTTTAATGTTTTTAAATTCAAACAACAGTTACTCAGATAAAATTAGATTCCTACCTCAGAATTTTCAATCATAATTCCACCAACGCAGATGAATTCTTATGAATTAATGTTCTGTTAATTTTCAGAGCGAAATTGCAAGTGAACGCCCAGGACCTTTTGATTGCCTCCGTGAGGGATTTTGTCGCGTGACTGGCTGGGGCGTGCCACATACAGCACGTATGATGCCTCTACTGTCACTTGTCGTACCAGCAACAGCCACAACTCTTGTGCGATATATTCTCACCTCAGCAATCCAATATACAACGCTATATTTTATCCATCAACATCAGCGTAAGAAGTACATGGAAAAGAATGATGGAACACCTCCCGCCAGATCCATGCTAGATGCCTACTTTCCTGAACTATTCTCAGCTTTTACAGGACATTTTATCGTTGATATGGCCTTATTTCCTGTTGAAACTGTCCTCCACCGATTACTGCTCCAAGGGACGAGAACAATTATAGATAACACGGATGACGGATTGTCAGTTCTTCCAATCACCACTCAGTATTATGGATTTTGGGATTGTTTTACTGTCATACATTATGAGGAGGGTGTGTCTGGATTCTATAAAGGTTTTGGAGCGCTTTTACTGCAGTATGCAATCCATGCGGTAATTCTCAAGTCAACAAAATTTGTATACACAAAGTTAGCAGAGGAGTTTGGTATGGACAAATCATGAGTTCTATTCCAGAATTTTACATGAATTCCAAGATTGAACACCAAAGTTACAACTATGAAAATCGAACAGTGCAAGATTGTTTTGCTTAGACTACTTTTATTAAAGAAATTTATGAGGTTGAAGTACTAAAAATACAGTACAATAAAATACATTATAAAGTCACTTGACAATATTTAGTCCATTGCATAAACAGCTAATCATGTTGGGAAAGATAACATTTTATTAAAATAAAATTAGAATATATTTTTATGTAATCAATTTGTAATCAAATTTTTTGGTCATGTTAAACATGTGGAACTATTAAAATTTCCTTTAATTTTAATATTTTTAACATAATGATAATTAATATTTTGATTTTGTATGGATTATTTGTTATTAATTATTCTGGTTTATTGGTCATTATGTTATTATTGACAATGACTGAATAACTTACAAGTAAACAACTAAAAAGCTGGTGTTGTGTTCCAACAAATCACTAAAAGAGTGTGAACATTATAGTATAATAAAGATGCATTACAATTTGGTTTTAATGTTGCATTCATGAATAAACCCATAGTTGGTGATTTGAGTGCCCAATTCTGAATCCGATATGACATGCCAGAAATGAATTGTGTAAATTTATAAATAAAAAAATGTATTACAATTTTATTTGAATTTATAAAGATAAAAAAATCTTTATATAATTTTGTTTTATCTATAAAAAAAATTATAGTTAATCATCTAGGAGTTACCATGTACTATGTTATAATTTCAACATTTTATTGTTTGTATTATCTACCCCTTGGATATAGATACTGTAGGTTTCAGAATACAACATTGTACAATTGTGTGTTTATTTGGATGTGCACATATTCCTGGCCCTATTCTTATTAGTCAGTTGTTAAGTTTAATTCAAATGTTCATGGGAAAGGTAGTTTATGGGAGTTTAGTCTGTGTTGGCCTGGGTAAATGGGTACCTCTAGAGATGCTAATTTTCCATGTACAGTACAGTATTTGTAATACAAGTTGCAGAATTTTATTGAACTGGACAGTATGTGAAGCTGTAGAAGACATTTAGAAAACACTACATACAGTATGCCAGGATATACAGTATGCCAGGATATACAGTATGCCAGGATTGGAGTTGGATAGCTGGAATAGCTTGGTGGATACCCCTTTATTGGTCCTCGAAATTTGAGCTGGGCCCCTGGGGACCCGCATTGCCTTCCAACTACAACATTTGTCCTTAACTAACACATGTCCTTAACCCACATAACTTTCAATATAAGGTTTATTCGAGGAGCCTAGCTAGCAGACTCCAATTAAAATCAGGCACTTGCAGGGTTTGAACCAAGGTCTTCAGCACAAGAAGCAAAAACAATTACTCCTGGCCACTTGCTCAGCTCTAACCGAGGTAAAACCCAGTCACAGCTGGGAGTATTTTTTTTCTGCCACAAATGAAAATCCATCCTTTAACTGGCAAGTTCCTTGCAGTTATGTGAAAAGAACAAATAAATAAGGTTAATTAATTTTATTGAATGGTTGCTGTTTTAATGATGGAAGAATTCATCAGGTGACTCATACAGTAAAATATTGATTGTAGTTAATACTGAAAGGTCCACTGATTAATCTCAGATAAGATAGTATAATACATACTGCAAGTATCGAAATGCACGCCATCGTGTTGGGATTCAATATTTCGACATTAATTATGTCATCATGATGACATAATTAATGTCGAAATATTGAATCCCGACACGATGGCGTGCATTTCGATATTTACTGCAAGTATCGAAGTTTCGATACTTGCAGTATGTATTATACTGTAGTTAATACTAGTTAATAACATTTATGAAAATTATACAAAAATGGTGTGAATCCATTACATACTATACAAAATGTTAAATTTGGTAATTATTTGGTGCTTTAATTATATATTGATGCTAGTATATGACATTCATTTTGATTGGCTTATGTTACTGGACTACAACACATGGTCCGTTGCTCTATACTCCTGCTAGACCACACATTTGCAATATTGTGATGATACAGAGATTACAACATACTGTAATTAAAAATACATTTTAAGATTGTCATTGTGTTTGTTTTAAATTTGCTGTTAATTATTAATTTAATATTATATGATGAATCAACACAACATCAATTTGAAGATTCAAATAATATTTAAGCATATATAAGCTTGATATTTCATGCCAATGGCGGATCCAGGGATTTGAAATAGAGAGGGCCCACAGAGAGACTTGAGAAATTTAGAGGGAATCCCCTTCTGCTTGCTCTGCAAGTGGCAAGGATATTGATTCCTTAATAAAAATCATGTATTGCACTCTGGCGGTTAACTAACAAGTGATAACGCATCATCATAAAATACAGGCTAGTCAACAAATAGACATTACCTTCAGTACCCTAAAGCATTGCCATGGCAACCAAGCTGGTATCATCACTCGAGGATTATGCTCAACTGAACACGAATTACTACTAGATCCTCTCTCAACATCATTAATAAACAACTTGATACATATATATATTCTGCTTTTCATCAAGCCAACCAGGCATTTATACATGCACGTGACGTATTGAATGTAGCAGTCACATTGAACATTTTCAATGCTAGATGAGGTAGGAATCTGTTGCCATTAATATTAAATATGTTATAATTAAATACTGCCCTTTTCCCTAACATCCAAGCATTTATTCATGACACTACATGTAGTGGTCTTGCTGAACATGCATTACAATGTGAGAATCTGCTATCATGGGAGAAATTTATAAACTCCCGGGAGCATTCCTAGTCATGCTTGCAATTTAATTCCAATATATTCAATGCCACATCATTCTACCATGTACCCAATGATGGCGCCAGAAATTTGCTGACAATTGGTACAACCTCTCCGTCGGAAGAGTCCGGGCCAAGAGACAAAGCCGCCGTCGACGGCAGGAATAAAAACTCCCTTGAAGGGTTCACCGGGAGAGCTCTTATGGCTTGGTATGGTCCAACGTGTGCTTTTATATATAGGGATTGGCAATCAAAATAACGTGATTCGGATAGGCAAATTATAATTATTTTTTAAATTTTTGATCTGACGACCTAGTCATGATTCTGACGAAAGGGGGTTCAGGCTTGTTGTCCAACAGGGGTAATTTCCCCTGCTGACGCAATGTGCCCCGCTGGCGCCAACACTGCACATACCCATATAGACTTCTGGGTTGACAGAGACAAACGCCTTGCCCAAGGACACAAGCAAAATTCAGATAAAGCTTTGAGCCTCCGTCCTCCCGGATGGGAGACTGAAATGCAACCGCTTCGCCAACCACTCCCACTTGTAGTGATATTTAAGAAACACGATACAAACAGATACTGTATGTTCTATGTGATGGTAATGCTTTTATTATCAGTCAATCAACTGTTATAACTGTGGAGTAAATATATTCACTACCCATACAATACCGCAATATTAAAATATATTTAAATCATTTATCATGAAGATACATACTCTACGATACAATTACAACTGATATCTATACACTTGCTCGACTGAACTTATATTACATTTTTTTATTTTGTCCAATCAATATCAAATAATAATTCATTCAATAAATTCACCAAAAACTCTAGAATTAAAAACTCTTCTGATATACCATAGCTATCAAGAACTAGATCAGTTCGTTTAGAATCACATGATCCATCTACACTAATAGAAATAAAACATGAATTTCTTGTGTTATTTCACAATAATCTGGTGGCGTACCTATTTTATATAGTTTTAAATGGACAGATAATCTATGGCTTTACTTTCTCAAGGCAGACTGAAGTTAAAATTGTATTTAATCACAGCAACTACTGGTAATAATTATTATTAATGTTTATTTAATGATACTTATGAATAATTATGTACCTACCTACCTACTGAATAGCCACATTTTTTAATAAGCTGCTGGATGGTTCTTACACAAGTTTACACACAGTTAATGTAAAATCATTTTATATATTTAGTAAAAACCTTACTGACAGTAACTAATTAATATTCATTTATATTAATATTTATGTTCCTCATGAATAGTAATGATAGATATTAGATAAATATATTTTATGCATAAATGCTAAGGATCTTTGACTAACTGAAAATGAAACCTGTTTAAACATGTACAAGCCAATGGGGGAGAAAATCTTTTTTACTGAAGTCTGTCAAGAAATTAAAAGAAATATACTTACTAAATACATTTTTTTGTGTGTGTTATGTACATTTGTTCCAATGTTTTACAGTTACCACCTCTTATTACATCTGTAAGTGTCACCTAAAACCAGATGGATTTTCAAATAAATTACTTTTAGAATTGCATGCCCCTTGATGCAACCCACCGATGCATGGGCTTCACAAGAGATGAACTTTTCATATTAATTATTATTATCCACTTATATATAAATGTGCCAACGAATACTTTAATGAGATGTCAAACTTGAGGGCAAAATCAAAGCTAACTAAACTGTCTTACTTTCAAATATCATGCAATATGTATCCCAAAGTTGCTTTAGATAAGAATCAATGGTCAGAAATTCAGAGGCCGGCCACCAAGTACAAGCTTGAAAATTTATCAAACACTGGGCTGCCAACCCCACAATAACTACCACCTCAACAAAACAGTATAACAAGATATAAGATACAAGAAAAATACAATATCAATATAATATTAACAAAATAATAATAATAAAGTGCCCTGTCGATTGAATATATCTCTAGGCACTTCACATTAAGTCTTAAACTATATGGTGAATGCTCTGCCGGACACTACCATCCTGTTATTTTACTAAAGCATACAATAATAATAAGCCAATTGTAGAATCTAGCTAAATTAGTACAACAAAAATATCAATTATAACAATAATAATAATAATACATTTTTAATACATTATGAGGCTGTTAGGTGAGAATTTTTTTATACCTTGTTTAGCAACTCACCACCTGCCACTAATGGCGATTTCAAATAAAAATAAAAATTTATCTTGGGCCAATTAGCGTACCCGCCGCCACAAAAAAATATAAAAGTTTTTCTTTATTTTTATTACGCCCACCACTGCCTTGAAATCTCCAAAAATAAGATATATATATTTCTTCCTAATTATATAAATTTAAAGCATTTAACCATCCCATTACTACACTGTTTAGATTCACCAATAAAATTTTATTTATTTTCTATTGTGTATGTTTTTCTGCAAAACTTAACCCTTTCCAGTCGTATGGCATCGTGAAGATGCCCTCTTTGACCATACTTTATAGCGAGGGGCGTTGTACGTACACCCTGTACAGATTTCATGATAATTATTTCATAGCTAGGCTGCCCTCTATAGAATTTTTTGAGAGTGATGTAGGAGTATTTCTGTAGAGGGCCTCTTGTATTCAGACCAAATAAAAAGCCTGTGCCCAGTAAAAATCCGACATTTAGTGTAGATGATGTAATTTCCCAGATTTGGTACAGCCCCAGGCAATGGTAATGGGGCAGACTGGAAAGGGTTAATTGCTAAATGAAAAACCAAAAATTAATTTTTATTCTGACCTCCTTTGACGATCTTTAAAAATAAGTTCACAAAACAAGGTATAAAAAAAATCTCGCCTTATTTACAGTATAAACTTGTACTAAAAAAAAAATAATACATACTATACATCATACCAACAACAGTACAATAATCAACAGAGGTATATCAATATTAAATACTGGAATAATTGAAAAAAAATAAAGAAATGAACTATAACCTATATTAATAATAAAAATAAATTTAAAAAAACTCATTGTGTAGATATTATAATTAATTACGATACCACTATACATAACGATCATTTTGTTTCTGGTTAACACAAAGAAAATTCTTCAAAATAAATTTTTTGAATAACAAAGATAAAAGTAGCAATCATTTCAATAAAAGGAAGAGTAATAATACTACATAGAACTCTTACAATAAAACTAATAAGTACAACTATAAATACTGTATAATAATGGTATTTAATAAAGATATCAATACATACCAAAGTACTCAAAATATTGTTATCAACATTGAGATTTCAATTTAAAACACATCAAAATATCATCAAAGATATATCAATGGTAAAGTTAAGTAACTTTATTTGGTCCTATTTGTGTAGCTAGGAAATTTGAATTAGGCCTGGACCAACCCTCAGCAATAGCAGCACAGGAACCCTTCTGGTGATAAACAACTCTCTGTGTTTTCTTAGTGCCAACTCAGACAGCGTCGTACGACGCAGCTCGACGAGATTTGTTGTCGCGTAGGGTCTGTGTGAGTTAAACGCAGACGCGATGGTGTGCGTCGGGGGCAGTCGCGTCGTAGAATATTAAACATGTTTAATATTTCTCACGATGGCTCAAGACTGTCCCTGACGATGAATCGCGTCGGGCTGAGTCGTACGATGCTGTCTGAGTTGGTCTTTAGTGTACTGTGTTTTATAAAGCTTAGTTTCCATATAGTGCTACACACTAGCACTGCCAGTTGCCGGCAATTATGAATAGACTGGTCAAATCCAAGGGCTTCCTGATTGTGACACCTACAGTCTAGCAATTTTATGAAAACCAGTTTTAAGTTAAAGATATTAAGATAACAATGTATATAAAGATATGTACATTATCTTCATGTTAAAAATTTAATAAACTATTTAATAATAATGTACAAAAGCATGTACTTAATATACAGCTGTCAATGTACTTAATTATACCAATATACTTGCAAGTATCAATGTACCAATATTATAGTACCTTAAAGATATCTAAGCAAAAAAAAATGTACTTATAGATATCGATGTACTTAAAAGATTACAGTATGTAAAGATGTACCTAAAAACATACTAGATATCAGTGTACTTAAAGATTAAACAAATGTACTATAACCATTAATATACTTATATATTAATGTATAATTCAGGTATCTTTGTACTTACTAACAACACTCTAATATATATTCCACATTTCCTTATAATTTTATTTTTATCCAAACATTATCAATAGGAATGTGAAAATACAATATACAATCTTCTTCAAAAATCCAATGTAATAATTCTATTAACCTTAATACATTTCTGTGGGATTCAGACTAGACACATGTTTACCATAGCACCTACCATGCAAAAAACAAAAACAAAAATTACTGTTGAATAAAAAAAATCAAATCATAGCTACTGAATTATATATATATATATATTTATGTACAAGCAAACATTAGTTCTAAAAATAGTTGCTTCTATTGGATTCAAAATACATTAATATCTGTACTGTAAAAGCTTCTTCAAGATGAAAGTGTAATAAACCAAGCATTTAACAATCATTTACGACAATAAAATACCATCATAGTCTGCTGAGCAGACTTGCCTTTCCATGGCAAAATATCTTCAGTAGACTTTTAGAAGGGTATATGCAGGTGAAAAGGAAACATTATACAGTATTATGGAATGCAACAATTAGTTACCTACTCATGAGCTACAATATTTTTCAAGCGTACCATTTGGCCGGAGGGGGAATATATTTTAATCAACTACTTGGGATGAACTGCAGGCTGACTAGGAATCGTATGTTGGAAAATTGCATTATGGGATAGGAATTGCAAATTGCAAGGGATGACAAAAGCAAGATGAATATATTGGAGGAATTGCATAACATTACTTGCCTCAATGTAACCTAACGATATGACATTTCCATTAAAAAAAGAAATGCATTTATGCTGTAGAATTTCATTTATATTTATATTATGTCTGTGAAGTAGGTTTTACTAAAATTTCGTTTCAACCATATCTTGAATCAATATAAATATAATTTCCAATCATCTTGTAAATTTCCCCTTGACAAGCATCAGGGTCATTATTAATACAACTAAAGAGCTGCCTGCAGTCTGTATACAATCCATCTGAACCTGTGCAATGAACTGCAAACTAACACTTGCAATACATCTCAAGTAAATGTGCAGAAATATTCAACAAGAGACTAATAAACAACATACACTTAGATTTATCAATGTCTATAAAACCTTAGTATGTACACCAACCAAACTTAGTGTAATTTCCTACCAACAGTATTAATCAATAGCTGATTGGTTAATAAGATACCCAATTGGCAAGGGGCACTGGCAGGATCTTGACATTATCATATGTTCACTGCTTAAAACAAATCCTCTTATCACTACACAATGTGCATTTGTAAAGCATGCATCAATTAAACTATATTTTGTCAAAATTGGTAGCAGATTTATTATAGTGTTGGCTAATGGGACAATGTCCTCAAGGGGAACACCACTCCAAAGAATAGCATAACTCTCAAATAAAGCCTCATCCTCCACGCATAGTACCTCGAGTGGAATGACATCCTCAAGCTTTACACTATTATTATATATGACACTGCCCGCAAATAGAGCATCATCGTAATAAAAACACTGCCCTCAAGTTATACAATGCCTTCAAGAATCGATTTTAAGTGAAGTGTTGCAGTTTCATTTGTGTGTTCTGGTGTAAGTTAATGTGCAATCTTAGTGTATAGCATGGTAGATATCACATGACAAAATCAATCACATGATAGACATAGGACTTGAACACCATGTCACATGATCACTCATTGTTTTTTTACTTCCACTGAAAAACAGAAAAAGAAAAACATTTTAAGCAATTTAATGTCATGCTGTAGAGGGGAACAGATAGGATTAAGAACTGAGGTTGACTTAGTTTTATTGAAAATAAATTCCATTCTGAAAATGGTGGGCTTTCTTTAATGTGATCTGAAATTTTAAAATAAATAAATACAAAGAGGAACAAGCTAATCATTTGCTTTTAAAATAACATCATTCCATCTACACTTCACCTTCAAGTACACCTTACCCCCTCCCCCACCCAACACCACATGGCATACAAATGGAATGATTGATTGACTGATCATGCAGCAGAGCACTCACTACATAATAATTTCTTGATGACTGAACACATACCCTTTATTTTATGTCAAGGCACTTAACTATTATACCATGGATCCGCTTAAGGTACATATTTGTAATTATCTTGATCAAGCTCATTTTGAAAGTTAACATTCTTTAAGTAGCTTTTGATTGCATGACAACATAATGCCATCACTAAAAAGTCATCTGTGCATATGAGAACGTTGTTGTGTCATGTAAATTCTAGGACGCAGTTCAGCACAAATATATATCGTCGCTCCCATCACGAAGTAACACAATCAAAGTAGATAGTGTTAGTTTGTGAAATCAAGAAAGCACGTCAAAATACGCGCTGCTGTTGTTAACGACTTTTTGTGTGGAAAAGAATACAAAAGTGCTTGACAACCAATACATGCTCATTTTGACGCGCTACTGTGATTTCATGAACTAACACAATCTACTTTGATAGTGTTAGTTCGTGATGTGAACCACGATATGTTGTGCAGAGAACGAAGGATGGTCACAGATGGTTGAATCAATTCTAGCGTTATGTCGTCACGTAAATGACCAAAACCATTATACCACATCATCTTACCTATTCTTAATCATTTCCATTTTCAGAGTGATTATTAGTACCTTCTTCTGAGATTTTTCGTTCTTTTGCTACCCGACTAAAACACTCTAACATATATTTGAACTGAAAAATATAATCATGTTTCCTATATTTTAACATTTGAAATTAACGAAAGTTTTTAATATTTAAAATATTGTTACATTCAGTAGAGGAATCTACAAGAAAAATGTCTGTACTAGGTTTAGGTTACAAGATGGAATAAAGTCGTATGAGATGGTACAATTAATATAAGATAATCAAGAGTGAAAAATAAAATTATATTAATAAGACCGTACAATTATATTATTTAGAAAATATAGATGATTATACAAAATCATGATAAACAAATTAAATTTTAATATAAATATAAATTTATATAATTTAAATAACAAGCATTCACAATGATTTATGAAATAACAATTGTACAAAAGTTTGGAATTTCAAGAGACTGAAATTTAAATATGTGTACAATAAAATAGAGGTTCAAACTTACATATTGTGTGTGAACTTTGACCCATCTTGGCTTCTTCCCCGTCTTCTCATATTCAAATGTAAAGGCCATTGCTTCGTCATCATATTCAAACTGCTTGATTTCCGTCCACTTGAATGTGGGCACTTGCTCCTAGTGATGTAATGATAGTGGATAATTAAGTCTGCTTGAAATGTCTTATGAAAATTTTATAATTTGTCGTCAGTTCCTCCATCATCACTAACAATACCATCAAATGAGACAGTTCTCATTGTCATCATGAACACCGATGTTGCCACCATCATAATTATCAGTATCACAAGCTTTGGCAACATGTGTGGATTTATTCAGAAAATCGTGGAAACTTCGCTTGTAAAGGATTCATATTTTTAAATTATGACTGCATAAAACCTGCTATACATAACTACAGTAAACTTCATTATACAATCTAAATTTATATCAATGTCTGCCTCTTATCTCACACCAATAAAGTAGGTTTACCCAGTTACAAGAGAGAGAGAGAGAGAAAAAAATAGCTTTGCATATAAATGTAGTTTATTACTCAAAACATGAGGACCCCTGTTGGATAATCCAAAACCTTTTTACCACTGTGCCCCAAGCTCTCACATTAAAAATTGTGCTACCTAAAAGCAAAACTGGTTATGACTTTCTAAATAAGAGACATTTTTTGCTAATAAACATTAACTGCATTTCAAAGCAACATAATTCACTGTTGCCATACTGAAGTGAGTGAACATAAACAAATCTAATTCAAACCACTGAAATTTTACAACTCTTATCATTCAACAGTGATTCAAATCACCACTTTAAATTGTGACGTCTAACCTATGTATCTTGTTAAATCCAAATAAAATAGAAACACCTCCTCATACAATCTGATAACCGCCGTCAGATAGCATGCACGTACAAAACATTTAACTAATTGTAGTGCAAAGCAGAAAAAGTAATTAATATTTCAACAGATAAAGTAGTGAAATGTGAAATATTTTTGTGAGATTTTGCAGAATATTTGCAATATTTTGCATGATTTTATTAAGACATTCATGATATTTTCATATATATTGAAAGGTCAAAAAAATACTGTCAATCTTAAGCCATAACTTTAAAACCAAATTTCAATATTTTTAAATCCATTCTATTAACTGACACATACAATTTTTATATTCTCTTCTTTACATCTCTCTTATTTTACCTGCGAAAACTTAAAGCCAGGCTCTGGAGAAAAAAAAATGTTTTTATGTTGTACAACTGATTTTTCTAAAACACAAAAATGTGTTCAACAAAAAACTTGGAAATGGTTATTGATATACAGATTTTTAAATATTTAAAAACTTAGCATATAAAGTTTTTTTCCCTTTTTTAAAAATAGTATTTTGAACCTTTAAATACTTCAGTATTTGATCCTTTTAAACAAGAAAATATATGTTCATAGAATTTGTTATTTATGTTCTAATTAAATAAAATAAATCAATTAGGAATTTTTTTTCCAGATTTTACAGCAAAGTGAGGTTTTCAATATGTTTGCGACAGTGTAAAATGTAATATGACCGCAAAAGCAGCTAGAAATGTTCAAGGAACCTGCAAGTCAATATATAATTATGAGATATTTGTGAGAAATGCAAAATATTGCTCAGACAATTATGTTTGCAACTTACCTCAATGACTCCGTCTTCCGTGCAAGCTTGTAACCTGAAGGTATCAAGGCTGATGATTGGAATGACGTGCCCACTCTTGCGGGCATCGCAGGGGCAGTGTGGAAATTCAAGTTCACCGTAGCCTTTACATTGCCGCGCAACTTTTAAATACTACAAATAAATTGTAACATAATGTTAACAAAAATTACAGAAGGGTGAAGAAATGTAAGTAGCAAGTGATGAAAAAAAGTGAGAAAAAAAACCAAATAATTAATTAGGTAAATACAAAAGCTTAAATAACATACCTGTAGCTTTTGATCATTTTCCTGAAATTTTTTAAGGTCACTAAGGTGGTTTCCTGGTTTGATCCTTTCTTTACTCACATCATCAACAGCCTTTAGAAACAAAATCATTTGTAATCAGTAAGTAAAATTTCATGAAAAAGCTTGAAAATATAATATTACTATTAAACTAAATATTACTAAAAAACAAAATAAGTGATGCAATAATTGTAAAATTTTTGGTAGCTTTCGAATAGCACTTATTTGAAAAACCTGTGCTATTACAAGTTATTGGACTGTTTACAGTATCTAACTTTATTCAAAATTATACAGAATCCTGCACTTTCTGTTGAACAGTGCATTGTACATGTAGGCCTGTCTAGCAATGTAGATATTAATTCATATGTAGGAAATCTGATATTACCAAATATATCATGTTGGGTAATACAAACTCTTGATTAAGCACCACAATGTTAGAATTCTACCTCTAATAAGTGCCAAAGGAACTTGAGAGTTGCACTTAGCAAAAAATCATGTATGGTATGGAGCCTAATAATTACTCATGCTAATTAGCAAGCAACAAGCATCAAAATAGCAATAGTTGAACATGCCACGACAACCATGTTACTAATTAATATTTATCAACACTGACACGTCAATCATTAACATTGCCATGAAAACCTTAATAGGGGGACAACATCGCCTTGATGATAGTCATTAATATTTCAATGGGAATGTTCAACAAGGCAATTATAAAATTTTCGAAAGAAATATTTTATTATGTAAAAAACTGAAAATAAATGGGCTGACATCACTGACGTTCTGTTGCCACTGTTGCCATTACCACTGCTTCCATTCTAACTTAGTGAGGATGTTTTTTTTTTTTTTGCTTCCTATTCTAATTAAATATTAATAATTTACTTATAAACATAATTTTTAAAAAAGCAATCCATTAGAGGTTAGTTTAATCTCAACACATTTATAAGTTTGTAAATTTATAAAAAAAACAGCATAATAATTCAAATTCTTTATAAGAGACTGAGAACCTGATTAGTGAAACGTCACCCCATGACCCAGCTCCTAGTATTTGGATTAAAAAGGTTTGTCAATTTCATTATGATTAGGTATTAAGGTTGTTGTTATGGTGTTGTTATGTTCTGTGTTGTCGTACTTGCATGCATTATACACACTACAATTGAAGCTCATTTACTATGTGAAAGACATAATTGGAGTTAACGTAATTAGCATTAGCTATCTTATACTGACATAAAAAATACAGTATGCCCTAAAATGATATCACTGAATAATATTTATTTTATATATTTAAAATGGTAAATAATTTCGTTTTCTTTCTACTCCTTTGCCATTTATTTATCACTTGACATTCTTCTTCACAAAAATGTACTGTCATGTTACTACATGTGATGGATTATCATTTTCAAAAGCAGACTCCTGCTACTTCTCCAATTATGTTCCGCAAGACTTCACATAGCATATTCTTAGATAAATTGTCAGTTTTATGGTATAACACATATTTTATGGATATATTTTACAGATTAACAGTTATAGCCAGAAACACTTTTCATACAATTTCAATTTTTTTTTTTATATAACTCCACAATATTGCAAGCCAGACTTCTTACCATTTCATTTTGCTGTAGCTTATCTACAGGTCTAAAATACTTAGTATTTCTATAGTAGTAAAATATGTTGTTTGTTTATTTCAAAAACAAAATTTGAGTTTATGCTCAGATTTTCAAGTTAAAATATTATAGCGAGACAAACTTCACAATATTGCCAGCCAGACTTCTTACATTTGATTTTGCTACAGATTATCTACAGATTATCTACAGGCCTAAAACACTTAGTATTTCTATAGTATTAAAATATGTAGATTATGTAAAAAACAAAATTTGAGTATGCTCAGATATTTAAGCTGAAATATTACAGCGAGACTAAAGTGTGAATGCTTGCATTTTTAACAGCCATAGAAAGGATACATAAATGAAATTTAAATTAAGGCGTCATATCTAGTGAGAGGGCAACTTAAATCCTCAACACAATTTATAATCCTCCATGTCTCAGAGAGATTATAAAAATGTAATCATAGATTAATTTATTAATCTCTTACGCATGATATATCCTCTAGATTAGTTTAGTTTGATATTAATCAGGACTGTTAATGATAGCTGCTGATGTAAAGTATCCTTGTGTGGTTTTCTACATGGCAAGTAATAGCTTACATGGATTTACGTGGGATTAGATTTCTTACTCTGGTCAAACATATATGGATTAATTGTGTGTGTAAAAAAAACATGTATTCAATCTAGTAGAATTGAAAATTGTTGGGACTCTTTGGTGACATCAGCATTTTTCCCGACAGGTATTCCATAATTTCCCAGACGGGCCACTACACCTTGGTCGGGGCTAAGGTGGAAATATACATAATACATCCCGCAAAATACAATTAAAATAATATTTTAAAGAAAACTAGATACATTCTGACATTAGAGAAAAAAATGAATGTGAAAGTGAAGGTGAATAAAACTTACTAGTTAAAGCCCCATTCCCGGCAAAATTTCACTAAAAATTGACTTTTTTTTAGAAAATATGCATTTGCATTACTCCAATTTTTATAAATCATGGAAAAATATTGGCATGAATTTTAGTTTTACGCAAAAGAATAAAAAAAAAGAGAAATACAGACTATTTCTCATAAAATATTACCATTTTCTCGACGAATTCATCGTTAATAGGCAAATTCAGAGGTTGTAGATCGCATCCACT